GTGCTCGCGTAGTTTAGGAAATGGGGAAATTGAAAAGGGGGGTGCTGGCTTAACGAAAGTTAACACCTTCGCTTGTGTGTTAAAATTACATACAAAATTGAAAGTTAATAGCTCAGAATTATGTGCTATTTATGTAGCTTTCAAAAGATATAAAAATAATTGGCCCCTTTCTAATAGTTTACAAGATATAAGCTAAAAAGACAATAAATATACGTTAACTATACAAGAGTAAAATACCAGTTAGAATATAGATAGCGAATCGGTTTTAGGCTTAAAATGTTCCTCTATTTATGTGCTCTTAGAATATACAACAATTTTTGTGCTCATCTCCTACGGCTTACAAATCTTCCCTGAAATCAGCACCGCACATACGTATAAGAGTAAAGTGTCAGTAAAAATAGAGATAACGAATCGGTTCTATGCTTTTAATGTTCCTCTGTTTAAGTGTTCTCAAAATATGCAAGACTCGTTTTTTGTGTTCACAATTTAAATAGTGACATTGTTATTACTAAAAAATCTTAAGAAATAATGTCTCTATTATTTTCTCCATCTCTTATTTTAAAAGAGTAATTTTTAATTAGTTTACTAACAATGAAATAAATATATCTTTTAATAAATATATCTTTTAATTAATATATCTTTGCAGCATAAATAAGTTATAAAAAGCTTTTTAAAGATATAAGTTATTCCATAATCCTTTTGATTTTATATAACGTATCAAATAATGTATCAAACATTGAACATTTTATATAATGTAACTATTTCTCAGATACTACATTTCGTTAACTATCTTGTTGGACAATTACGTCTTGCATCAAGCACATACATTTTTGCAACATATCTTGACGGCATATCATATTAAATTTTGGAGTATTTTCTGTTGAATATTGTGGCAACACAAAATGCTTGAATTCTGATGTACTTATGACGACAAGCTTTGTTCAATTTTTATAGCATTTTTGCAGCATGTTATGATGCAGATCTTGCTCGGTATGTGCTACATTTTTGTTGACAGTATCTGTTACAACAGCCCATGCTGCTCGATTTTTGCCACCATAAAGCGTAGCATAACTTCGCAATTTGTGCTTTTGGCACGTTTTGCTATCTGAAATGTATATACTGAATATTCCTTGAATTTAGTTATCTTATATCATTTTTATGTCATGCTACGCATTTTGTGTGTAATGGGTCCTATAACTGTAAGCCACTGTAAATTACTAAAATTCTCTGCGTGGATGTATTAGTCATTGGTTAATCAAGTTAATACGCACACTACTGGATGGCCAATGAAAGATCGCGCTGACGACGTATTAACTTTTAGAATTTTTTATTAATACAACAATAAATGATAATTGTACCGCATAATTTTTTGATTAATAAGAAACTCTTATGCGAAAGTTGATACTAAATTATATACAGTTACTGAGACCTAAGGTAACAAAAGTTATGCTTCGATAAAACGCATATTTTTTCTATTGTGCTAATCTTCGTTTGGCAGAGTAATAATAATAGTAACGTTAATAACATTATCTCTTATTATTTAATCTTACAAAAACATAAGTATTACTATTAAAAATTTTTTTATTACTATGTACAATTCTTGTTCTTTTATTTATTTTTTATTTATATGCTGCCAACTATTTCTAAACGATCCTTTTATTTTTAGTATCACGATTGTTATAGTGAGAGTTAGAACAAACTTGTATTTTTTCTTTTATGATAAACTATATAATAATTATTAACATAAGAAAAACAAGCTCGAGATAAAATTATTTTATAAATTGATAAGAAGAAAACAATATTCTTTTTTAATGAAAACATATTTCTTCTTTGAAACTGTAATTTGTTTAAATAATTATTATTGTTGTAATTATTAATTATTGTTTAAATATTTTATTTTATTATTTAAAAAAACAAAGATGTTTTATGTGAAAACGTTAAGTATATAT